TATATATATATAACTGCAAAGATACATGGTTATGCAAAGTCGTCCTCTGTGTTTCAATACAGGTGGAGGCTGCACAAGTGGCACAGTTGTACTCTGGTCCCTGATTCTGTAAGACGAGGATTATCTGGATCAGGGGAAGCATGTGGAAATGGTTTAGAGACAAGAGGCAAGTATTAACCCTGACCTATAGTCATTTTTACACTTTCTCTTCTCCAGACAACTGTTCCACTTCATATCACTGATTTCAGTCTTTTTTCAAGCTCTTTACCCTCCATCCTCCTACTGTTAGTGTACCAAAGTAATCTACAAACCCATTTCAAAGCGCTATTTAGAAAACAGATAGAGATATTGCAACCATCATTTCTTCAGTAAATGTGTGTTTTGGTTTCACTCTTTATAATCTTAAAATAGCACTCGCTTAATGTTTGGCCACAAAATGTATGAATAAAAATCTTAGCAGCAGTAAAAATTCAAATGTTCATAAAAATAATAATTCATTGCACAATACCACAGATTACCAATAAAGTGATGCTCAAAGGTAAACAAAATATGCTTTACACAAAGACTAATTTTATTATTTTAAATCTAGATTTACATTAGGCTAACAAAATATTACAATTATTTATATGTATATATATATATATATATATTTTTTTTTTTTTTTTTTTTAGAGAGGCGGCTGTGCATTAGTGGTTAGAGCAGTCGTCCGCAAATGCAAGAGTTGGGGGTTAGATTCCACCAGCAGTCACATGCTGAAGTGTCCCTTGGCAAGACACTGAACCCCTCATTGCCTCCGATGTGTGTCCCATCGGTGTATGAATGTGATGAAGCACTGATTATTTTTTTAACAGATAGAGTACTGTATGAATGGGTAAATGAGGGCACAGATTGTAGTGTAAAGCACTTTGAGTACCTTGATAAGATTCAAAGGCGCTATATAAGTACAGTCCATATATATATATATATATATTCTTCAGCGGTCGCCACAGCGAACTAATACTCACGAAGACTTGGCAATTGTTTTAACACCGGATGACCTTCCAGATGCAACCATTGACCACTGAGCTACCACAGCCCTCTGTGCGGAGCAGAGAGCTGCCATCTTAGGCGCCATGGGGAGCAGATGGTGGGGGCTAAGGGCTTTGCTCAAGGGCCCAGAGTGGGGCAAATGAGGGTAGAGGCAGGTGTGGGTGCTTCACTTTCCCCACCCACACCTCGTTGTTGTCATTACCGGGAGTTGAACTGGTGATCTTACGATCACAGGCCCACCTTCTCTAATATCTGCACCACCACTCCCCCTCGGTTCAATCCTTTAAATTATTTTTTTTATATTACATAGTATTGAATAGTTTTGAGGCAGTGTACATTTTTTACAGCATGTTTCTAATGCTACACTTTCACACTCTATACCAGGGGTCCGCAGCCTTTATGATCACAAGAGCCATTTCTGCCTCTTTGTTCACTAAATTAAACATGTCTGGAGCCACAATAGCTGCTACAACTGGGATTCTCAACCGATGGCCCATGGACCACTTTAAGTTTGTTGGAGGGTGCTTTTCTGGATAGTAGGGGTGATTTTATAAAACTAAAAATATCTATTATGATGTTTAACATTTATTGATACATTCTAAGACAAAATAAAATACAAGATTCTTGTAAAGAAGGAAAAAATAATATAGTTTTTGCCCAGTTTCTAAAAACTAAAACAATAAAGTTTGCATTCTTATGTGATTTTTTTTTAATTGTAGAAACAATATGTATCCTACTTTGAAGAAATAAAGCATAAAGTGAAAGTGAGTATGATTTACTCCTTGTAATGTTTCTAGTATTCATATATTCGCAAAATAAATTACAGGAAAACTGCTAAAACTAGCCCTTTTAGTTGTTATAACAACCAATAAAATTCAGTTTTATAACAGTTTTGGTCAAAGCTTGGAAGAGCCGCTGCAGAGGGACCAAAGAGCCACATGTGGCTCCAGAGCCGCAGGTTGCAGACCCCTGCTCTATACTTTCTAAATGTGTTATACTGTATATACATGAAATCTTTTTTTTTAAATCATGTTTTTTCACAGAGATTTTTACATCTTTCAGAGAATCTGCTTTTGATCAAAATCATTATAATGCCACAGTGTTTACTAGATAAGTTTGCACTTTTTTTTAATGGACAATTATAAATCTCAATAGTTCCATGAAAATTGTTATGTTTTTTTTAGAATGCACTTATGATTCCAATGATGTATGCAGCTTCTCTGTCTTTTGAGAATATTTTAGCATTTTTACACTCAGCAAGACTCCTTCGGTGTAATTAAGACTGACATTTTTCAAGTGAATTTGCATGACTTTTCAAATGAGATGGAGTGGGGAAGGGGGGGGGGGGGTGTTTCCAGGTTAAGAGTGAGCCTCATTGACCTTTTATAGCGTCTTATTTGAACGTGATTAGAAAATGGAAAAGTTAAATACCTGTGACATTTCAAAATCTGAAATATGAGCATGAGATTTGTAATTAGTAGAGAAATAGAGTTTAAATGTAGGCTTTTAAACAATAAGGAACTTTGAGTTACTTTCACTCAATGAGTAGTTGAACCAATTCAACAAAAAGGACATAAATGTCAAACCAGCGTATAATTAGGGCACAATAATTGGGAGTGAGACCATAATAGGGGTACAGAAGCAATTGATAAGGGCATATTTAAGACTGCAGAAAGTCATACATCCTTCTTTATTTCAAGGACTTTTACAAATTAACTACCTCTCTTTGTTCACTCAGAACACATATAGTTCAGGTATTTCCAGTTCTATATAAACATATATTAGTTGTAGAGGAGCACACTTTCAATGTATATATTATGCAAGTTTAATCTTTTTTTTTTTTTTTTTTTTGTGATATCTTTTGGACTGATTGTTTTTGTAGATAAATACAAACCAAAGGTGAAAAAAAAAGCAAAAAAAAAAAGCTAAATGTATGCATTATCCAAGAAATTGCATATTTAACATGACAGAGCAAATTTATGCTAATAAGTGCAACAAAAATCTGCGTCCAAGTTACTTTCCACTAAAAACTTTATGCAGAGTATTGATATGTTCCTGTTTTCTTTCTTTCTTACAACTGTGGACTTTTCAAATGTTAGAGGGTGACTTGTTAGAAGTCTTTACTTTTTGTGTACTCTTATAAAACAAGGAACACTTTTATTATGGCTAATAAAAATCAAACAAAAAAATTAACAAATGCTAAATGAGATAAAAAGTTAACTTAGAATAATTCTACATTGTATTCTTGTGCACGACATCTTTTTTTTTTTTTTTTTTTCCCGCACCATGACTGGCATCCCCATTGTTAAAAAAATATATACCAACAGTGTAATGCTGCCATCAGAGTTTCACTGTAGGGGCAGTGGTAATGAGGTGATGCTCAGTGCCCAGTTTCTTAGACACACACACACATATTGCAGCCAGTTACTCGGACCAAGACCTTGTGGCCTTAATGACTCAAGCTGGCTAGAAGGCCACATGTATAAAACCATTTATGGCTCCCAATGTCTTCTATTTTAGAACCATGGAAGCTTATATGCTTTAGGGCATAGAGAATGCAACAAAAATGTCCTTGTATAATCCTAAGATCTTTGCACTGACTCAATCTTCTTCAGTGGGTAAATGGACGATTTCCTAGTTTGCACTTTGACACACCATTTACCATGAAACCATGTAGGCTTCATGCAGCTGTTTGCTTTTTGAAGCATCTTAAAACCACTGAAACATGCAAGGTGCATTAAAGCCTAATTTGTAAATCCCTGAACCTAATAGAAGTTTCTTATTCCTGATGGATTACCAAAATATGGATGTAACAACCCTGAGTGTCCAAAACCTTTGAGAACAGTGAAAAGAGTTCAACCAAAAGTAGAAATAGGATTCAAATACATAAAACATTTGGAAAATAGTATCTAACAAGCAGAAATGACCAACAACCAGCTGGTTGCATTATGGTCTTTTTTTTTTTTTTTTAATGAACTAGAGCTGTTGAAAATGATCGTTAGAAAAATGACTCATGCTTCTGATCTTTAGCTGCATGAATAATGTGGCTTATTGGCTGCGATGATTTGATTCTACATTAGTCCTAAAAAGTACTTTATGCAGAGGAACATTATACAAGCACTGGATTGACGTTGAAATCATATCTGATGTTGGAAAAGTGGGTAGGCATGATTATTAAGAATTTATAGTGTCTGTTGTTTTTTTTTTAAGATCTCTTTTACCTCAACAACCTTACATTGGCAATATTTTAAACATTGGAAAGGAAAAAAAGATGTGTCCCTTTTGGTGATTCACAAAGAAAAACATTTATTAGGAACTGTGTAACCAAAGACAATACATGACATTTGCAGAGATGCAAAGACAAAAAAAAAAAAAAAGTTACTATTTGTGAGAAGAGCCTTTTTAAAGGCCACACAAATGGCCTCAGGCAGCCTGAAACTAAAATAGTTATGTTAAAAAGGATGGCTGAGAGTTCAAAGTCGGCATGGCTGTGCTAATAAAAGTCACTAAGGACGACAGAATGAGGTTGTCAGTGACAGATAGAAAATGAATTAAAACTGAAATAAATGTCAATAAATTTAAGTAATCAATCCCAAAATGAGTCTGTTATTCAGCTTAATTTAAAGACAAGTTTTATTGCTTAAATTGTTCATCAGAAAATTAAGATTAAACTTATTATGCTTCCCTAAAATGTAACCCTTTTAAACCTTAACTCTTGCATTATGAATAAAAGATCTTGTTTTCTTTGAATGGCTGTGATTTAGAGCCTTATATAAATGCACTTTAATAACTGCTCTCATCCTTGAAGTGCCTTGTATGTAAATGGCCATCCCACGCACCCTTAGCAGACATGTAGAAACCATACTGGTTTTGGCAGGGAGCAAAATTTAAAAGTCCAATATAAATCAATACAATGGATTAAAGGCATGCTTAGAGATCAGTGAAACCTCAAAAGACAATTGAGGCGTTTGGGTGAGAAATTTCCCTCTTGTGCTATGGCTTTGTATTACTGCCTGTTTATATTTTTGGTTCAAAGACAATGAGATCCACTCATCTGGAAAGTCAGTGGTTTGTGTATGTCCCTTCATCCCCTGAGTCATCTCACTTATTGCAAACTTAACAAACTCCTTGACCAGTAAGGAGTCAAATGGTGCAAATGATTCTTCTCATAAAGCACAGTAAAATATAAATATCATGTGCAAGAAAAAATAAATTGAAATGGAAATTATTTTTGGGGGTCTGATGATTAATGGATTACTTGCAGTAGTAAGATATACCTACTTAAGTACATTTTTCATGGCTCTATACTTTACTTAAGTACTTTCAACTTTTACTCCACTACATTTTCTACCCTACATTTCTATAATGCGTTGTGTTACAAGTTGTATTCCCGTTGCAGATTTTTGATTTGTTTGTTAGTTTGAAGTAACCGATGGCGAGAGGGGAACTGGTCCATTGAATCACAGCAAAGTGGGCTGGTAACGTTAGACCCACCTTCAAGAAGAACTGGGCCAATGACATATATTCTAGTATTTACATCATTGAGCTGGGTGCACCCACAGCACCACTAACACACCCAAACTGGATTCCACCGCGGAGAGTCAGCCAGAAGAGACGTGCCCCCCATGGCCTTATTGAAAGATTATTGAAAGTCTATTGAAATACTATTGAAAGACTATTGAAAGACTATTGAAAGACTTTTCAGTTCAGCAGGACATATTCCCTCTCCCAAAAGAGCCAGACTGGACTAAAAAAAACTTTGAAAACCAGCTTCTCCTGAACTTGAACAAGAAATCCTTGCTGCAATATTAAAATATGTCAGTTCATGATGTTAGGAGACAAGAGATGTCTCTAAATGTCTCAACACTCAGGCGCAAGTTTTGAAAATGGTGTCAGGAAGTTAAAATATTGTTCACTGCTGACCCATTACAAGGATGACTAGACAGTATTTTAACTAAAGTTGACAAACTGGAGTTGAAAATGATCAGATATTCATTTGTTAGTTGGGTCTAATGCTCCTTTTGTCAGGCAGACAACTTTTACTGCAGTTAAAATGACACACTGGTTTTAATTTGTGTTAAATAAAAACTTTCAAAGGTACAATCATTCCTCTTTCTTGTTTTGCTTAATGGCATTTAACTCTGCAGGTCATCCCTGAAATACTAACGCACATAAACACAAGTCCAAGTGTGAACTCTGTCACAGAGTAAACACAATAAAAACATACATTATCTGCAGCATTGTTCATTAAAATGGCTCAACACTATTATTGTATTACAGAAAATATACATACGGTAGGTACACTTAAAGATAGTGAAACATTTTGCCTTCGATCCGGAAGGCTTCATCAGTCAAGGAAACACACAACAAAACTGATTCTTCCCCCAACAGCTTACTCCAAAGTGGAACAAACCAGTTTTATTTGTGATAAGATGGTCCCTTTGGTACGTCCCCTCCTCCATTGCCGGCCCTCTTCCTTGTTGACTGTCGTGTCAAACTGGTTGAAAACAACAAAGTCCATGCTCAAAAATCCAGGTATACAATCCAACATTTTTCAGTCAAGTCATCCAACATCCAGATGACCTGACTGAAAAATGTTGGATTGTATGCCTGGATTATTGAGCATGGATTTTGTTACTTAAAGATATTGTAGCGGCTGTAGTTGAGTGGTTAGAGCAGTCGTCCTCCAACGCAAGAGTTGGGGGTTCAAATCAACCAGCAGTCACATGCCGAAGTGTCCCTGGGCAAGACACTGAACTCCTTGTTGCATCTAATGTGTGTCCCATCGGTGTATGAATGTGAAAAAGCACTGAGGAGTCTCTTTAAAATTATTTGTTCAATTAGCTTTGTAGAGATATGGTACAGTGCTGTGTGAATGAGTAAATGAGGGCACAGATTGTAGTGTAAAGCGCTTTGAGAATCTCAATAACATACAAAGTAGAAAGGCGCTGTAAAAGTACAGTTAATTTACAATTGCATTAGGTAATACATTCAGCAAGTATTTTTACTTTTAATACTTTAAATATTTGTAAAAGCAAGTAATTACTTTTACTCAAGTAAAAATGTTAATGTGGTACTTCTACTTTACTAGAGTACATTTTTGTCTGTTTATTTGTACTTTTACTCAAGTACTTTGTACATTGTTTGAGTACTTTCTCCACCACTGATTATTTGTACCTGGTGAGACTTTGCATTAAGTGTATTGCTTGATTTACATAGTCAAGTTACCTTTGTTGGTCTTACATAATTTACTTTTTTAAAATTATTTTCAGTGATAAAAGAAAGAAAAAAAAATATATATATGTGTGTGTGGAATGTGTTTATTTGTCCTATTATGAGGTTGCATATCACAAATAATTAATGGATATTCTGTCAGTCCAATATTAGTGCCTAAACATCCATGATGAGGAATATGGAATGACATTTTTCCCTTTCGGTCTGTTCTCAGGAGTCAGCTGCATTGGGGAAAAAGGAGAGCCGGCCAACATGACGGAGTGCTTGCAGTGGGCCGGCCCCCTCCAGTCTCAGATCAGAGAATGCCGGGTAGCTTGCAAAGATGACTGCACTCTCACTGCTTGGTCCAAGTTTTCTGACTGTGCTGGATGTGGCAGCTCACAAACTCGCAGGCGTTCCCTTTTAGGTAAGGACTCTGATTTTGTCAGGCAGCGAGACACTAATATTACACAAGACACCTGTTTCATTTTTTTTTGCTACTGGAACAATGGGATTGTCCTCTGAGGTCAAACATTCTCACATTGTTGGTGTATGCTTTTATTGATGTGGCTGGCAGTGACTTTAGAAACAAATTAAATCCAAGAAGATGAAAGTTTTTGTCATACCTGACTATTAAGTGTGATGTTATGCTTATTTCCTAGAGGCAACAAGCGCAAAAACAGCCTGATACTTATTGATCTTGCCAAAGCACCAACAGACTGGATTTATTTGCTTTTCTTGGACTGGACTAATTGCAGAAAACTTTTCTTAAGCTGAAACTTTAGCAATTTACCATATAACACTGTAATAACCCATAACTTTTGGCTGATTTGGTCTATGCTACTGTAACGTTTTACCATCCCTGTAGTGTTATGGCAGACCTAAATTAGGAACCTCAGAGCTCATAATCCCCTGTTTTGGTGCAGATGGCAAAATTTGACTTGCATGCTGTGGCTGCAGACCAGACTGAATACTGTTTGTCCTCATGAATATTTTATCTGATGCCGGAGGGGCTGTGGTAAACACACCCTGTCTCTCTCTATAATGCTCTAAGAAAGTAACATGACATCAACCTTAAGTACATGTTTGGTTACTATAGGAAGGGCTTGTATTCACTTGCTTACACTATTTATAACAGATCATTTAAGCATTTCAATGCTTTTATGACAGCTATATTTGTTGCTTAAACTTCTTTGTCAGGGAGATTGATAGGTGAACCAACTGTGGGCTTTACTTTTAATGGGTGGTTAAGGAAGTTTGCAGTCTGTGCCTAGACAGTGCAGCTATGCTGTAAAGCCTCCTTAAGCCATACACGTGGGATATTCTCAGAATCTATACGGAAAGTTATTTTAAGCCCAAAAGGCTTGTTTAACAATGCAATGTTCAGTTGGAGTGCATGGTTCTTCAGTTTTAATTCTAGATTTAGTTTCTGTTTGTATCCGTCCTGCATACTCAGTGTACTGGAAACATCAAAGCTGGAACATTTACATCTATTCAGATAAATGAATGAATAAATAAATGGGGGGGAAACCGTCAAGCACTGTTAGTGTTACTTGAATTAAAATAAAATAAACTTTTTTTTTTTTTTTTCTTGAAGATGTAGAAAAGGTTTGCAAGTTTTGGAGAGCTGAAATCCTTCCGAATGAGAAAATGATTTATTTATTTTTTTAGGAAACAGAAAACACATTCAATTTCCCTTTCTCCTTTTTTTTTAAGCGTTTAGATCTGCCATGACTTGGATGAGTGAGAATCTGCACAGATATATTAATGTTTTTGCTCAGCTGTAACTAAAATATGTAAATTATATATTTTTATTCAGCTTTATATATATTCATAAATACAGTAAATGATTTTGATTTAGACTTTCTGTATCAATCTATCACTAGGCTAATGCAGAAAAAAAGACTAGAAACACAAATTAACCTAACATCCATGCTTTTGAATTGTGAAGTAAAGAGGGGAAATAGCTCACAAAAAAAAAAAACAGGGATAACTCACAAACTGCACATGTTCAGACTAAAACAAGGTTTGGTGTGAAGAGGCAATGAAGAGTGCCTTACATGAACTGTGTTTTGTGAACTGTATGTGATTTTAGCATGTGCTACCTGCTTTATAACATAATACACACATAACAGTTTGTTCAACAAAGTAGAAAGACATGATATGAACAGTCCCACCCACTCACTGCTTTGTCAGTTTCAGACGTCACGACCTGCCAGCTCTCTTCCACAATGACACACAAATCACTGGCTTTGTACCAAACAGGGCTGAGGTTACATGATGAACTTTACAAGTTTCTTTCGGTGACGTATTTGAATGTGAAACTACCAATTACTGTTGACAAGAAAAGCAGTCTAAGGTGCTTGTTTTGTGCTGTATTCAGTGTTATTCATTAAAGCATAAATTTTCAGTCTGTCTGCTACCTTAAGAAGAATATAAATGCTGAATGTGGGATAACTTACAGAGTTTAATTTCTACAAAATGTTTAATACATGCAAATTGGATGAACTGGTATTTTTCTTTAGGAAGGAAAAAATAGTTTAGATCTAAATATATACAGTAGTCCCTCGCTACTTTGCAGTTCGTATTATCGCAGACTCGCTCTATTGTGGCTTTTCAAAATAAGATTGGACATGACATACAATTGGCTGATTGATAGATGAGCCAGACAATCGTCATGGATTTTTTTATTTAAAATTAATTATTTTAAATTATTTAGCACCTGCTGCACATTTGTGCAACCCAGAGTTGCAGAAATAAACCTTCCTCCTGTAGCTTTGTGCAGTCCTTACTGCAAGATAAGCGTCCTACTGCAGCTGATCAGCTGTTCAACATGCAGAGCAGAGAAGTGGGCGTGGCTAAGAGCACTTGCAGGTGGCTGAGAGCAGAGGAGACAGGGAGCTGAAATCATGACATTCTGTGCCCTTTTAGAGCGTTTTAGAGCATAAGTAAGCGTCCTCTGTACATCCCTTCCACCTTAGTTTCTACAAATAAACAAACCTAATTTATTTATTACATTTTTAATAGTAGATTAAGCTTCTTAAGTGAGTAAAATGGTAATATACAGTATTGAGTTATTTTTTCTGGCAGTGGTTTTTCACTGTCCTCACCCCCACATTGGTGCTCCAAAGTTCACAGCTGGGACTTTGAAAGCACTAGCTGATATTTACACACATTTAAACAGCAAGCACAGTGTTGCACTTTTACATTTATATCATGAAGGACATAGAATAATATGCAGCTGTGGTGAACTGGCTTCAAGCTGATTCGATCCGAGTGAAAACATTTTCAGATGATCGATGACAGAGTTTTGGATTGACAAAGACAAGCTCTTATAGTCAGACTGACTGCACACGGTTTCTGGTTATTTTCCTATTGAACATTGTAGAATATTCAGCTCCTTGTTAAAAATAGTAAAATTAAAACAAAAAAAATCTACTTCAATTTTGGAAACACTTTATAACCAAGTGTTGATTTGCAGTCACGGTTTCAAGCAGTGTTTAAGCATTTTAGCAGGATTCAAACATTAAGTTCTGTGAATTATCTCCACCACTGATCAGAGAACAGATTTGTGTGAGCATGTTGAAGATCAGCTGCACATAAATGGTTTAAATATCCTATCCAGTATTGTTACTGAGCCATTTACAGCTGCTTTGACTCCCATGTCAGAATAAGCTTTTAAGTAGCTCATGTGCATTATTTCAAACCAACTGTGACAAGATATTTTATTTATAAGTTTAATTATTTAAGCTTTTAAGTCCATACCAAGTTTAAACTTTCAGATATGCTGTTCTGTTAAAAGTGTTCTTGTGTAAATTATCCTCTAAGTGACAAAGCAAAACTTAAGTGTGACCTGTCAAGTCACTTGCATCTGGACGATTTAGTCCAATCAACAAATTTTACTTCTTTACATCGAAGATGTAAAATGCAGAGGAGTGGTTGCGTAGAGGTTAGAGAAGGCCAGCCAGTGATCGGAAGGTCACTGGTTTGAATCCCTTGACTATGACATACAAAGTTTGTGGGAAAGGTGAGGCGTCCACACCTGCCTTCACCCTCAACTGTGGGCTAGGCCTGTCACGATTGCAAATTTGTCTGGGCAATTGTCTCAGAAATTATTGCAATAAACAATAATATTGTTTGAAATTTGACAATAATTAGTAACTATTGTCAAATTTAAGAAGAAATGTTGGTTAATTTTGTGTGGAGTACCTTTTTTGACTAGCAGATAGCAGTATAATACTGTTTGAACCAAAGGATGGATAGTGAGGGAGCGAGCAGCAGGTCTCTAAGAAAAATGTTGAGGGAGGCCCCTTGACGTGATATGGGCTGTCTCTATTCTTTTTTTTTTTTTTGGTTCTCAAAATGGCGGCCGTTCGGTGTGGTTTGAGCTCTTTAGCATAACATTTTTCACACAAAGCTTTTAATAAAAAATTAAAAAAATCAGTAAACAAGTTCTCAGCTTCTTTTTGCAGAGAAAAAAACAACGTTTTTAGACAAAGGCACCGGTTTCAACCGTGAATTTTGGAGCTTCAGTAAGACGGAGGTTTTTTCCCCGAGGTCGGCCTGTTAGCTTAGCTCGTAGCTTAGCTTCTCATCTTAGCTGCTTTTAACGATCCAAAAATGCGATTTTGGACGGTTAAAAGAGATTTTAAAGAGAAAGGGATGGGTCATTGAAGAGCACCGGTGTTTAGCCTTTTGTCATCCAGTATCTTCAATAGAAAGAGAGAGACACGAAGAAACGATAAAGCCGATAAATGAAAATTAGGTTGATAATTTTCATTTGTCATGCGATTAACTGATTTATTGTTTATTGCGACAGGCCCCTAACCCCCACACACCCTAGTTAGTGGTCTTACGTTGTACCTGGATGTCAAGACACTAAGAGACAGTTTGTTGTGTGAGTAAATATGAACAGTTTGATGTCTACTTGTTAACATTCCTGTAAGGTCAGTCCTTCTTAGATTGTATCATTCAAGAGTTGGATAAGAAAAAAAAACAAAAAACAAAACTCAAATAGTCCAATTTTGCAGACACCTTTTTATCAGCACCTTGAAAAAGATAATAAACAAAAAAAGATCTGCAAATGTTCATGATGTGTTACATCCATTCAACATTACTAGATAATACAGGGTAAAAAAATATAATTTTGTGATCTTTAAAATAATAATAAAAAAAAAATTAAGCAGGCCTAAATTTGTGCACCTAAACGCCGGCTGTTTGTAATGCCTGAGGCCTTGCGATCACAGCGAAGTGCTTGTCAATGTGAAGTAACGGTGCAATGGCACTTTTCAATCAACCACCGGCAGTGGCGTAGATTGAACAGATTGTTAGTGGACTGCAGTGTGACAGCAGTGGATTCTCACTCTGGGAGGAATGTTTGCAATCAAACCCACTTCAGAAACAGATGTGCTGCTCAGATATTGGGCA